GAAAGGCAGGATGCTCACAACATCACATATTAGTGTCAGCACACTCTGACAGTTTTCTGAGTACTTTTGTTACATTGGTCACTACAATTGTTTTAGAATGATTTTGTATCGTTGTAGTGATCACATTTAATTGTACCTTGTTTGGTTATGTAGAAATCAGCTCCTTTAACTTCAGTCTTCGTCAAGCTGTTAATGGGTTATCCGCTCTTTTGTCCCCACCAGGTGGCGTATGACTCTCGGTCTCACCTGAGGGCCCCAGGGCTGTCCTCCTCTCTGCCTGGTTCCTCTGGTGGCAAGCCGTGAGTTTGTGTTTCTGTAATACACAAACACATAGACAGATTGATTTTGGTAGATATAAAAGTCTTTTACTATCATTAGTGTGCACATAGAGGACACTTGCAGTATATTCCCGAGTTATACAGGACACAGAACACAAACAGTTAATTTTCTATTCTTTTATTAGCGATTTAAAAAAAGAAATATGTGAAAGCTTAGCAGGATAATCATGTCAGGCTAAGAAAATACTTAGATACAGATGATTGCACATACTTAAGTCAAAGCTTGCTCTGTGATAATCCAAAAATATTTGGATTGGAAAGGAATCCAAATGAGTAGTAGTTCCTCCTAGCTGCACACTTTGAGTTTCTCTATATACTCAGGGCTTTTCAGTGCTGCACATTAACCCTGTCTAACCCCTGGAATCCCTGAATACTGAAGATACTGTAGAATTTCAAGTGTCCAGATCACATGCTCCAACACACTCGCACACTGTCCATTCGGCTTTGCTGACTGAAGATTTGTGTTGTTTTTCGTCATTTGTTGCAGAGCAGCAATTCATTCTTGTGGTGCTAATTTGAAATCATAAAACAGCCTGGGCTTCCAACCGCTACAGTATTGATCGGCCATTAGCAATGCCACACTGACTCTGCTCTGTAACACAATCTGCCATTATGCATTCCCGCCCACAGCTACAGTGGGCCAAGTAATTGCCAAAATTCAGGCAAATATTACTGAAGTTCCAAGGCCATTATGGTGTCGTCAGATTTCACAACTTGCACACTGACTTGTGTGTTTTTGTTGCATTATGTTTATTTACCTGTAGATCCTCTACTTTCACTTGCTCATTGATTGATTTCTCTTCCCTTCCCTCTATCTTCTCTCCAGCGCCTACTCGTTTCACGTGAGCGCAGACGGCCAGATGCAGCCGGTGCCCTTTCCCCCAGACGCCCTGCTG